TGCACTCGGGAACGGGTCCCACAGTGCACAAGGCTCGAAACCTACTAAGTTCATGCTACTAATTCAGATAATTCAGGTCATATCTAATTTCATTTTCTTTCTACACATTTACCTGTCAAAGTGTACAAAGAGTTATAATTTATTTATACAATCCTTACTACAACTACATAAGTTCTGTACACAAAAGTCCTAAGTCAGCATGGGTGACTAACGGCCTAGCTACAGAACTAACTCCAAACATGCCTAGCCGTCTAGCTCGTCACTCCCCCGGGCTTCCCACGCGTTGGGTCTCACTACCTGAAATGGTGGACAAGGAAACCGTGAGATAAAATATCTCGGTAAGTAAATATGGGTGCCCGAATCAGGATTTAAAGCATGCCAAATAATTGGTTAAAACATGAACAGAGCGTTTCAAGAACAAATCATTAATGCAAAATAAAATCACGTAGTGGTCTCCTTTATTAGTCATGGCCAGTGTTATAAACCTCCCACTGGCAGGCTACAGAAGTTACTAGTGTACAATCCCCACTAGTAGGGCCACAAGCGAACCGGTTCTATCACGAACATGTCGACATGTGCTAGCGTTTATAAACCTCCCACTAGCGGGCACACGATTATCACGACCATATTGGAGACAAAACCAAGCAAACTTTACAAACAAAACCGAAATTCACAATCGTTCTCACTTTCAAGAATAAATCAAAAGGATCTCATGTGGGCATGCTTAATTCTAGAAAATAAGGAAAATGATAAAAGTTTAATTTCCCTTTTCAATCATGCTCAAATGCGAATAAATCCATTTAAACCTCGCCACCATCTCAGAAAACAATTAAAATATGCTTCAAAAATTTACGGGCTTTACCATAATTTATTTACCATAATTTACTTACCTTAATCACGCAGAACAGAAGGCCTAATCCAAGTGCTAAGATCACAGGGCAATCAAGGACCTATTCACAATATTCTCGAGTTAATATCTATAAAGAAAATTTCATTCCTTTATTTATTTTCATTTCTGCTTTTCTATCCGGAAATTAAGCATTAACCGGGATTGGGTATTTATCTATATATCTACAATTATATAATTACCCATATACCATTTTCCTCAATTTCATGGACAAGCAATGGGAGAACCGGCCTTGACAAAAATGGCCAACTCACGGGTTCTCCCCTTTCCTCATGGACACACACACACAACAGCCAAAACCCCCTAATTTCCTACACAATTCATCAACCAAACCCCATTTCTCAATTCGCCGAAACCCATCCCCCACCTTCGGCATCTTGGTCCTTGACAACCCAAACACCCACACAACTAATTAAAGCTCACAAGCAACAATTAATCCACCAATTTTCAAGGATTAGAGAAGCCAACTTACCAGAAATGCTCAACAAGCAAAGTTGGAGCTGGCGGGATGAGGAGATGCCGGCGGGAAAAATTGCAGGGGGCTTCACGCAGACTTCTAGCAATTGAAGAAAGGAGAATTAGAGCAAACCCACACACATCAAGGTTGAAAAAGAAGGGAATTCATGGCTGATTTTACCAGGAAAGATTGGTATTCACTTCAGCAACACCGGCGGTAGGGAAGAGAGAAGACAGCAGATCCGAAATTCCTGGGTTGAGGGAGAGAGTTTTAAGCTTTAAATTTTGTTGTTCAACAAGGAAAGGGAAGGAATTTACCAAGATCTTACCAAGTTTCCAAGAGGAGCAGGCGGTGGTGAAGGCTGGTGGTGTTCGGCTGCAGGGAGAAAGAAAACAGAGCAGACACGCGAAAGTGCTGGGGGAAGAAAGAAAGAAAGAAGAAAAAGAAAAAAAAGAAATGAGTCAGCCGGCCTTATCCAATAAGAGTTTAACCCCTTTGAAGTTTGAAAAGTTGGCAATTAGGTCCATTAATAATGTTTCTTCACCATTAGGTCCTTAACTCAACTTAATATGCTTGAAATTTTTGGGGTATTACACCATAATACTCAATTTGAATTATTTCTTGAAGCACACCATAAAAATCATAATCTGATTCGGTACCAATAAATCCAACAACACAGACACCATAATTTATTGTTCGCTTATTTCTACCATAGAGGGCAGTGTGAAATCGAAATCCATTGACAATATATTCATTATAGTAAGAAACATAATTTTTTGGACCGTTGGATAAACCTTTGATATGCTCATGGACATTAATGAACTCATCACTAATTACCTAAAATATATAGATTGTAGAAGAAAATGTTAGATGTATTTGAAGAGAAATAACATATATATGTTAAGGAATTGAATAGTTATATTATTAAATACTCATAGCTTGTTCAAACCAACGCACAAGGTCTCTCTCTCATTTTGATTGAATTTGTTGAGGACTCATATTTTGACATTGTTCTCTCTCAAATAAACTAGAAAATATGATAATAGTTTTTTATATATTGTTAGTATGTTAATTTCAATAAATCTTAATATAACAAATTAAAGATTTTAGTGTAGGTTTTTTTACATGACCCATCCTCGCAATTCTTTGTAATTCATTAACACAATACGAAGCAGCTTTGTGTTCCTCTATTATCAAGCAACGTCTTCCAAATTTGGAACCAATACGTTTTCCAACACATTTAAAGATGGATAGGCCACTATTATCACCAAATCCAACAACAATAGTCCTAGGGGGATTATCAACTATATTATGTACTCCATTATCAAAGTAATGAAAGATAAAATTTGTAATCTCAGATATTATGTAACTTTCACATATGGATGCTTCAGGATGCGCTTTGTTTTTCACCGTCAACTTAAGACAATGCATTCACCTGATTCACCAAGAATTATTATATAATTATATTATGATTAAAATACTAATTTGGTACCTCAACTTCTAAGTTTATATCAAATATACCCTCAAAATTTTAAAAAGTTTCAAAATGGTCCTTGAAAGGACCATTTTTAATTCTTTTCTAAGTTAAATGGTAGCTTTGATATAAAATTGAAAGTTGAAATACCAAATTAGTATTCTAACCTCAATGCAACAAAATATCATATATGGAGTTATATTTAATTTTAAATATTATACATTAATTATATTTATCTCTCAAATGGATACATCCATCAAAATTGCACCGATCCTCCTACACGAGCCTCGTATGGAAGGTGGATTGCAAGATGGTCCATACTGTCAAAGAATGAAGGTGGAAAGATTCGCTCTAGCTTACAAATGATTTCTAATATCCTCTCCTGCCATATTGCCAGGTCATTGAACTGAATCACTAGAGCACACAAGGCCCTAAAGAACTCACTAATCTCAACAAGTGGCTCCCAAACTTGTTTCGATAATAAATCATGAAATGTAATTGGTATAAGGCTTTGCATGAAAATGTGACAGTCGTGACTTTTCATACCGAATAATCATGCCTCTTGTGTATTAACACACCGAAATATATTGGAGGCAAATCCATCAGGGAATTTAAGTTCCTTCAACCATTGATATATTGATTTTCTTTGATCCCTACTAAGAACATAAGTGGCCTTTGGCTTTTTATCCGAATTCACTCCTGTTTTCGGTATGTGCAGACTTTTGCTTTTACAATACAATTCCAAATCAAGTCTTACATTTATGTTATCTTTTGTCATAGGGTCATCCATTACTGTATGAAGGATATTGTCAAAAAAGTTTTTCTCACAGTGCATGACATCTAAATTGTGTCGAATCAAGTTTGTGTGCCAATATGGTAATTCCCAAAAGATGCTCTTTTTAACCCAATTGTGCACTTCACCAAATCCGTGGATTTCCTGCTTCTGAGGTGGCTTACCAAATAATACATCAGGCATCCAATGGATGTGATTATGCATCTCATCACCAGACAATCTCTCTAGCATTGTTCCATTCTTTGTACGACCCTTTATCAAGTCATTCTTGTTTCTTCTAAATGGATGATCCGGTGGCAAAAACTGTTGGTGACAATCAAAAAATGATGTCTTTTGACCATGTTCCAACCAAAAGGCCTTTGAATTTTCCATGCAATAGGGACAAGCTAATTTACCATGTGTGCTCCACCCAGACAACATTCCATACCCAGGTAAGTCACTAATGGTCCACATAAGTGCAGCCCTCATCAGAAAGTATTGACGCCTAAAGCTATCATAAGTTTGGACTCCAAAATACCAAAGCTGCTTTAAATCATCTATTAGTGGTCGAAGCATTACATCAATATTCTTTCCAGGACTTTGGGGACCTTGGATAATCAATGAAAGGAATACATATTTTTGCTTCATGCACATTGTTGGAGGCAGGTTATAAACTGACACAAATACTAGCCAACAAGAGTATGGGGATGTAGAATGTCCAAAAGGAGTGAACCCATCAATGCACAGACCTAACCTAACATTCCTCGGTTCATTAGCAAACTTAGGGTGAGTGCTATTAAAAGGCTTCCACGCCTCTCCACATGCAGGATGAAAAATTTTCTCATTTTCATTATAACAATTTAAATGCCAGGTCATTTGCTCGGCAGTTTTCCTAGATATATACAATCTTTGAAGTCTAGGAATAATTGGAAGATACCACAAAGACTTTCTTGGTATAGGCTTAACAAAATGCACATCATGTTCTTAAATCATGGCTTTTCACTTACCGAGCAATGTAAATAACACTGACTTTCATATTCTCCATAAAACAAAATACAATTGTTCACACAAACATCATACTTTTTTATACCCGAGACCCAGACACCTCAACATCTTCTTGGCACTATAATAATCTGTTGGCAATTTCTCCCTATCAACTTTTTTGAAGGCCATTAGACTACGCTTTAGCACATAGTCCCAATTAGTAACACTTATGTTAAAAAGTGTTTTTGCACTCATGAGCTCACACACCCATTTTAAGATAGTAACACCATCATCACACCCTTCAAAAAGAGGTGTATCAGCTGCTTGCAAAAGATCAAAGAACTCTTTTGCATCTCTTCTTAGCTCCTCAAATATCGATTCTGTAGTGACACCGTATGGATCATCAAAACTAGAATCAAATTGTGTTGCATCTTCTACCCCTGTGGCACTATTTTCATTATTAAAAAAATTTGGTCCCATGGCATCATGAAGCATGTCTTTGAGTTGATCAACACTTGAAACATTATTCATAACAACAGCAGCAGCGGCAGCACTTGACGATTCACCCACTTGGGTGCAACGCCATTTTCTATGAATAATTTCTCTGTGTCTTTTCCAAATAAAATACCCATCCATGAAGCCGTTCTTAATAAGATAAGATTGCACTTTGCGTAGATGATGCCATTCTCTATTCCAACACTTACTACATAGATATCGAATCATATTCTTCGCACAAAACATCGAGTCCGTTTGTGAGAAGGCAAAATCTAAGAAAATCTCTACGCCAACATTAAATTCATTGTTCCAATACCCCATTTCATCTCGACGACGATACATCCAACTCCGATCTTATCCCATAATTAAGTAGTACATGCCTTAAAAATTCAATAATATCTTAATATTATATAACAAGCACTAGAATCATAAATATCAATTTTGGTCCATCAACTTTATGATTTTACACAATTTTCATCCATCAACTTTTTCTTTGCTCATATGGGTCCTTCAACTATGAATAATGTACATTTTTAGTTCTTCTGTCAATTAAGTTTCTTTAGCACATTGATAAAAGGATTAAAAATGCAAATTACTCATAATTGAGGGACCAAAATGAGCAAAAAAAAGTTAAGGGACAAAAATTATGTAAAATCTTAAAATTAAGGAATCAAAATTAGCATTTATCCTTTTAAAATTACATATGCTACAATAATATATATAATTACATTTTTAACCAACTAAAAATCTACCTAATTTA